AGCACTTTGTGGTTTGCCAAATACTTTTATGTTTTATCATGCTCTTCACTGCAGTCTTATGATTTAGATCTTATTATTATACACATTTATTAAAAAGGAGACCGAGGCTCAGAAGAATTAAGTGACTTGCTCAATTCACATAGTAAACAAGAGCATGACAATTTGAACCCAAATTTCAAAAATTCTTTTCTTTCCCTGATGCTGCCCTGAAATGTGCTTCATTCCTTTTACGTAACATATATATCCCTTAGAGAAAACACGGCCAGTTTTTATTTTATCTTTGTCATACTGTGACCCTGCCGGTTCTCATCACAAGTAGCATCGTTGGTGGTAGAGGGCAGCAATATGCACATGCCCACTTGGATATGACTGCTCAAACAATGACGCATGTGTCACATGCAGTCTCCTGAGATTTATCATGATGCCAGATACTTTCTAAAATGTATTAAAATGCCAGAAACAAACCAAGTATATAAGTTCTTGTATGTTCGAGGTGACTAATTATATTAAAATAATTAGGATTGAGAAAAAATGGGAATAAAAATCTAGTGCAATATATTGAAGGAAATAAAGTCTAGATTATAGCACAATGGAAACATACACATGAATAATACAAATTACTCAGTGATAAGACATTAATTTATAGAAATCATTCAGTTATGGAAATCTGATCTTCTAGTTCTGTATCTTTGGGATTGTGAGTGCATTTGGTACTATCCTTCTCCTGCATCATCTGAGAATCTGATCAAAGTTGGGTCTCTTTAGTTTTGAGGCAGGAGTGTACCTGAGAAATTCAGGTGGAGTATTATGCAATCATGAAAAAGACAGATCTGTGTATCCTATCTGTGTCTCCTGACATGTATCTTGATCACTCAACATGACTCGTTCGACATATTTGTTAGTCGAACCATATGTATTTGGATTCTGTGAACCCCATGTATCTTTCTGGAAGGAGACAAACTGAATTTTGAATTTTCAAGTGAGACTCTGTAGGGAGAAGGAGAGGTACTAGGAATGTTTCCTTTTTATTTTAACACACCAGTATTAATTTCTCTTAACCATAAGAATATATTAATTTAGCACTTAAATAAACATGTAAAAATGTTTTAGGACATTTGGTAAGCTGGAGAGGGTGAAGCTATACCTTTTCATTCCTCTCTCTAGGCCAGAGGTCTCCATAGCCCTCTTGATGTGGTTATTGTAAAGAGTAGTCCATGGTGTACCTGGTTAAGGAGAAGGAGGGGGAGAGGTCTATGGGCAGAAGCCTGGATCTTAGTGGCACCCATGTGACCCTTTCACAAATATCCCCCCCAAAGCGGCTTTCTGCACCTGGCTGCATATTCAAGTGCCAGGTTGGTTTACCCAATCTGTGCACACCCCTCTGGAGGCTAAAGAACCAAGGGACACTTTCATGTTTGTTTCAAGGGAATGTTACAAGTCTGGCTGCTAAGTTTATACCAGGGCAGGGTTTAAGGCTTGGGAGCTGGTGGAAGAGATAAGCACTAGAGATCACTCCCTTGGCCTTGGGCCACTGCTCCTGCTAAATACTGGGGTCTGACACACTACAGGACATTCTGAGCCAGAGCTGTCCTGATTAAGTTTCTGAGCCTGAGATAAGACACACAGCGTACTTTGCCTCTGCCCCCAGCATCTTCGCACAGTTGAAAAGGAACATTCAGGGGTCACTTGAGGGAAGAGAGGGAGTAAGGAAAGTGACGTGCAGCCCTAAGCAAGGTGAAAGGAGAAGGAAGGGCTAGCAGGCCTTAGCATTGGTGGGAGAGCATCATGGGTACCAGGAAGCTGGTTACCATGAACATTATGAGTCTATACATTTTAGCTATTGATACTACTCACCTCTTCCCAGCTGCTTCCCCCTTGGGTCACTGATGAACTGCCTGTCTCTCCTCCCATCCCTCCAAGTTGGGAAGTACTTCTCAAAGTCACTGCTCAGCTCTGTGATCAGTTCTGGTCAGGACATTTCTTGTTTTCTAGGAACTGAGAGCCCCCTCAGAGGTGATACTAGTGGTTGCCTCCTCTGTTTTCCTTCCAGACTCCCTCTGTCACAGGGTTATAAGGAAGAGGACTAGGGCAGCATGAGCCTAGTTATCTCTGGCTCCCCAGCAGACCTGCCTCATTCACAGAAGTCCAGTGTATAACAACTGTTCCGTGGAAGGGCATGTGCATCAAAGTCCGAGAAGCTGAGACTGTGGTACTGTGCCACTAAAGTAGTGCTCTCCTGGGTCTCAGGCTCCTAGAGTGCTCGTCCTTGTGCATGGTCCTTGTTCAAGGGTCACTGAGGCAGCTCACTTCAATCACCAGATCTAGCACCCGCCACAGAACGTCTGCTACTGGGAATAGAACCCTGGGCCATCTCTTCTTGTATTAGGGTCTGGTCATGGAAAGCAGAGCTGGACACTCACTATAGCCCAGCAAGTCCACACTCCACCTAGAGCTGCGAATGGGCAGAATGGCCAGAAACATGCCTCTGACGTTTCCTGTCCCTTCATTCCATCCACTGAACACTTATGGGGTGCCAGGTAAATAGTTTGAGATGCTGAAGATGAACAGATGACAGAAAGGGTCTCTTCTTGGCCCCCAGGGGCTTCTCATCTAGTGTGGAAGCTCATGTCACAAGAGAGTCCAAGGTTCACAGTCCCTCCTACATGCTCTCTTCCCCGTCCACTCTCTCAGTAATGTGACCTGTCCCCCTCTTCCCACTTGGACCTTGCCCTGCTTCTCTCCTCTCAGCCTCTCACTTCCATAGATGCTCACTCAATTCTATTGTAAAAATACTAAATAGGGTGTTTTAAAAATTATTTTGCCATTTTTATTATGTCAGTCATCATTTTACTGTTACACAATCAGAGAGAGATCATTTTGGACAATTTGAAGAGTATTTTGAACATTTTGTGCAGCCACCACTTCTATTTTTTATCTCAACATCTGCACCCTGAGATTCTTTCACCCACCAAACATTTCCGGATCTTCTACTCTGTGGTCCAGACACCTTTCCAGGCATTCAGCATAGAGCAGCTAACAAAGCAAAGTCTTTGTTCACATACACTTACATTCTAAAGTGGAGGCCGACTGATGAACAAAGTGCTATAGGATATGATGGCTGCTAGTATGATAAATGCTATGTAGAGAAATGAAGCAGGGTAAGGGGTTAGAGACTAGTGATAGACAGTGGGGTGCTCTGATAGATGAGGTGGCCAGGAAAGTCTTCTCTGAAAACAGTGGGAGAAGGAGTCGGGAAGCTAACTGGGGAGAGAGCCTCGTAAGGTAGAAAATGCAAAGATCCCGAGGCCAGATGTGTGGTGAGAATAAGCAAGAAGGATAATGTGATCATGAGAATAGGCACAGGAGATGAGGCAGTGGCGCATGACCAAGACTTTGCTTTTTATTTCAAGTGAGAGGGAAAAACTGTTGGGAGGATTTTGAGCAGGGGAGTAAAAAGTTCTCACTTTTGTTCTAAAGGATTCCTGTGCCTACTCTGGGGAGAAGTCCTCTGCCTTTATCTGTGGGCACTGAGAAACACAAGCCACTGCCCTGAGACACCACCCACCCCTTCCCTGGCCATATTCACAGGGGATCCGTTCCAAGATCCCCAGTAGTGCCTGAAACTGAGGATAGTATTGAATTCTACATAGACTGTGTTTTTTCCTATACATACATACCTATGATAAAGTTTCAATAAATTAGGCATAGTAAGACATTAACAACTAATATAATAAAATAGAATGTTTATAACACTTTACTACAAGTTTCACAATATCTCTTTAAATATTGTACTGTACTCACCCTTCTTGTGATGATGTGAGATGATAAAATGCCTAGTGCTGAGACGCAGTGAGGTGAATGACGTAGGCGCTGTGGTGCAGCATCAGGCCACCGTTGAACTTCTGATGGTAGGTCAGAAGGAGGGTCAACTGATTCCAGGCCAAACCACCATTGGCAAAGGTAACTGAAACCACCAGAAAGCAAAACTCCTGTGCATACTGTAGGAAGAGAAGAGCGAAAGCTAAGCAGTTGCATCAGTCTGGGTGAGAAAGGAAGGCTGGGTCAGGGTGGTAGTGGTAGACGTGACAAGAAGTGATTGAACTTGGGATATATTTTAAAAGCAGAGCCAACATAATGTCAGCTCTAAGGTCCTGGGCCCAACTTATCCGTCAGCAACTATTTGAATAATCAAGTTCAAAGTAGAAAACCAAAACCATTTAAAAACACAAGTCTTCATTGTTAAGCAACAAATAATATATGAATGATGGCCAAGGGACACTAACTTTAGGACATGAAATAGAGGGCCAAATATAGGCAAGAGCCTGCAAATGGTTCTCCAATGTTGATTTTGCAGAACTTTTTATACTTCACTGTTGAGAAAAATAATTTTTTAAAAAGGAGGTAGGTACACAATATTATTTCCCAACTAAAGAAAAATCCCCGTTTAAATATTGTTTTGTTTTGAAAGAGGAGCCCTAAGGGTCTTTCATAACTCTGAAAGGATGTGTGACTCCTGCGGTGCAGTCTGCCGTGCTAATAGTTCTCTGGGTAAGTGAAATTTAAATAAGCAAAGAAATGTGCTAACAAAACACACAAGTGGAATCTAGTAGCCACAGACCCACCAAGGAACACTGAATTGTGTGAGTCAGCTCAGTGGAAGGTTGATTAATCCTTTAAACTTGAGCAGGTTGGCCCTCTCTGAGACATGGGTTTTAGCACTCACTCGTTCCTGGCTAAAGCTGGCCCACATCCGGGGCTCTACCACTGTCCCCTGCCTTTACACGCGCCGGCCTTGACAACTACCCGCCAGCCATCTCAAAACCCTGCCCGCCCCTTCGCCCGACCAAGTCTCCGCGCCCCAGCCCCCGCCGGCCACGCCCCCACGCGTAGCCTGCCTGGCCACGCCCCCCGACCCGGGCCGCGCCGGCGCGCCCGCCGCCCAAGTGGCTGTGCGGGCGGAGCTTGCGCAGCCGCCGGACCCTGCGCGCACCTCCCTCCGCCCCGGGCCACCGTGAGCCTCCGCGGACACGCACTTCCTGCGAGGCCTCCGTGCGCACCTTAGCCGAACCGAGCCGAGCCCAGCCCTGCACTTCCAAGTCGTTCGCCATGGTGGACGAGCTGGTGCTGCTGCTGCACGCGCTCCTGATGCGGCACCGCGCCCTGAGCATCGAGAACAGCCAGCTCATGGAACAGCTACGGTTGCTGGTGTGCGAGAGGGCCACCCTGCTGCGCCAGGTACGTCCGCCGAGCTGCCCGGTGCCCTTCCCCGAAACGTTTAGCGGCGAGAGCTCCCGGCTCCCCGAGTTTATCGTGCAGACGGCGTCTTACATGCTCGTCAACGAGAACCGATTCTGCAACGACGCCATGAAGGTGGCATTCCTAATCAGCCTGCTCACCGGGGAAGCCGAGGAGTGGGTGGTGCCCTACATTGAGATGGATAGCCCCATCCTAGGTGATTACCGGGCCTTCCTCGATGAGATGAAACAGTGTTTTGGCTGGGATGACGACGAAGAAGACGACGACGAAGAAGAAGAAGAAGATGATGATTACTAGGCCGGGAGACCCTCGGGCCCAGGGGGGAGGGCCCTGCACGCCGCCATCCTCTCCCCACCTCCCCTGCCCGGCCCGGAGCCGCCAAGCTCCCTTTCATCCTCGGATCCCCTTCCCTACCCCTGCCCTCCGGTTCTCTCCCTCATCCCCCCCGTAGTGCTTGCCTTTGTTCCAGGAATAGTGCTGCAGTTACCTGCTGCTGGGGCTTTGCTCTGAAGCGCGCCGCCACCGACTTTGGCCAGCCCCAGGACCCTCCCCTGCTAATTTGGACTGTGTCCTGAGCCCCAGCTATAGGGCAGGCCCCTGTTACAAACTGGTGAGACTACGCCAGCCCTGCCCTGCTGACTGCAAGGCCTCCATCTGCCCAGAGACCTACGCCGCCACTTCACCCCATCCACCACATTCCAGCGACAGACCACAGCCTTTGAAAATAAGGACCAACCTAGAAGATGCCTGAGTTGGCTTTATCTCCTCCTCGGACATTAATTTGGACAGCTCACCAACCCCTGAAGGGGCCAATCTTTCAACCTGGTTAGTTCCCTACCTACTCCCAGAGTCCTTCCCTTCCCCACCAGATTGCTGCAGGGGCCTAGAGTGCCTGGCAGCCAAATTGTTGACATTTTTTTTCTCCTATGCACTAGTTTTGCACAGCTGTCCTTTTTCTTTCAAAACTGCAGCAGTCCCAACAGATGTGTGCATTTGGACAAAAATACTAAAAACAAAACAAACAGAAACAGGCACTCAGCCCGGCTCCTCAATACCACCTGGAAAAAGCATTTACATTCTTTTCAATAAATATCAAGCACTACAAAAAAAAAAAGAGAGAGAAGAAAGGAGTGTCTTTTAATGGTTAAGTGCTATCATTGGCCTCTACCAATCTCACTCTGACTCCCATTATTTCCCCTGACATCGGGGAACCTAGTTCAATCCCAGTATTCACCACTGTCATCTCTGGGCTACAGAGGACAGCTACCACAGGGTTTTATAGGGATTCTGGTACTCTCCTCACCAAGGCATTTCTTAAAGCCCTGGCAAAAGGAGTGAGTGTCCTCGGGCCTCCAGGGTGGCATGGGTAAGGGGTGGTTGAGCAGGTGGCACACCATCCCAAACTGGGACACGAGAGAGTGAAAGGGGACACTACTAAAAATTAGACTGGGACAGCAGGCATAAATCTGGACACATATAATATTACTATCTTCCTGAGCCTCTGGGTTCCTTCCTCAACAATGCCAGGGAAATTCTGTCCCTTAATTCTTACTGCCTGTGGGGTGCTATTGAGTTCAGACTTCAATTAACAATGTAGCATATTGTTTTAATGCCCCTTTCAGGTGCTTGAGTTAACATTAAATCCTGGTTCTTGGGTGAGTGTACCCATAGCAAATAGTGACCTTAACATTTTGTCACTCCCGGTGAACACTCTTAGAATCCCCACCCATACATATGTCCCAGATTCCTGCCTGTGGAAATTGGCAAGATGCCTGGCTGTCTCCTGAATTAGACCTTGTCCTGCTATCTGGGCTATGCTGAGACCTCTGTGGGCCTGGAGGGCTTAGAGGCATTGAGGGAATGGGGTGGGTGCTGAGAAGAGCCCTTGGAAATGTTAAATCAGACAAGTTTGGCTGTGGGATTTGTGGGAGCCACCTCTGCCAACCAAGAACATTTATGAGGATTTGAGGGGTTCAGAGTTCTCACCTCTATCTGCCCAAATGTACTCATTGTACCATAACTGGAGTCAGCCCTACCTTAAGATCTCTAATTTAGGTAATAAACTTCCCTATTACATAAGACCTTTTGAGGCTGGTTATTCTTTTATTTTTACTGGTAAACCTCACAGTGTGGATTAAATGAGATACTGGTCATCATACTGGTCACCTCACAGGCATAGATTCGTTGAGATCACACCCATGAGGTATTTACAGTGGTCCCTACTCCATGGTGAGCACTCTGTAAACATGGGCTGTTACTCCCAGACCTGGGATTGGAAGTCTAACTTGGGAAGCAGGTGTCTTGCTGTGAGTTTCACTTCAGTAGGAAAATGTCAGCGGTGAGCAGGAACGGAACCGGCTCAGGGAGAGTGGAAATGAGAGCACGGTGAGACATCATTTACTCATTGGGATCTGACATAAAGTCAGGTAGAAAGTTTACTTGGTCAACAGGAAAATGTTTAGGGCAGGAGTGATTTCTCTTGCCTAGGAAAGTTGTTTCTGGAGGGTAAGGATGGGTGGATATGGTTTAGCAAAGGAGGGGTAGATGTGGGAAAGTGGTAGGCAAGAGCTGAAAGCTAGGTAAAGGACCCAGGAAGACCAAAAATCAGTCATTCAAAATTACCAGAGGTCCAGGTATACTGAGAGGAGTTAAAGATAGAATGGTGAATGAAAGGTGGTTGCCCTCACGGTGATTCCAGTTTGTTGCTTTTATGGTGCCTTGAGCCAGAACTGGGATGGTATCTAGCTACAGGTAAGGTCCAGAAAGAGCATCTGGACTGTGATTAGATCTGGGAGTGAACTTCCTGGGGGTTGGGGGCAGTTGAAGATGAGTAGATGAGATTTATTCCCTGCCACCAAATCAAGTGAGCACATGCTCTGTGGGGAAGGAAGGGATTTCTGCACAGTGAGGCTGCCATGCCAAGGCAGCATCTGAGTAGCATCCACAAAGGCTAGGCCAAAGAGTTTCTGAGATTTGAAATGCACAAACCCAGGGTGCGCACGTGTGTGCATGCGTGTGTGTGTGTGTGTGTGTGCATAACCTTGCTCTGAGTGTGTGGATATGTGTGGTGGGGCGGGACGGGGGGGATGTCCTTCCTGTATCATGGAAGAGCAGGCTATGTTGTGAGCTGTAGAGGACAGTGTGAGAATCTGGCTACTTCGGGTGCAGATTCTGCAAAACATGTTTTTTGGCAAGGACTCTACCACTCAGGATGAAATTCATGGCAGTGGCATAAGTAAATAAACACGTCTAACGATAAAAGCATCACTTGGATGCAAACTGTTAAATGTAGGTAGAAATGTTGAAATAGCAAATATGAACTTCAGACTCCTGAATTCTCATATTGGTCATACTGGCCTTAAAATGGTCGCTGACATTATGCTATCAAGGAAATGAAATTAATCATATTAGAGGTCATAATCAATTAATCATTAAATTTATCAACGTATTTTGGAGTTCTTTAATCATTTGAGTAGGTAAACACTGCTATCCCTTACTTGTGTGTTGCTGTGTTTTGCAGGATGGTATATGAAGTTAGAGGTACATTATGTACATTGTGCTTGGTTATTTTCTGCTATTACAATTTAGTAAAAACCTCAGCAACTTGAAAGTAGGCAGAATAGGGGGAAGAAGAGGGAGATGTCTTGTTGAAATTAGTGGAACATTTGCTTTTTAACAAATGAATTACCTAGGTTCTTAAAGCAATTAAAGCTAATATAGGGGCATCAATTCAAGGTCCTGGATTAGGGTGAGATAATTGCATGGAGCATATTTATTATTTGCTATGAAATATGAATTTTGTTAAAGATGTGTTTAAAATGGTAGTTTGCATTACTGAGTAGTTTAAGTATATTCCTTGTATTCTTATGACTACTTAGGTCTAAAGGTAGATACAATGAACTGGTTCGCGTCCTTTGACAGTGCTGGTAACCACCTACTTCGCTTAATGAAAATCCTATCATGGCCCTTGCATTTTTTTCCCCTCCTGTCTGAAATTCCTCTTAGGATGTTTTTTGTGTGTGTGTGTGTTTGTTTTGTTTTGTTTTATCTTCAGATGTTCTGTTGTCCAAAGACTTTTTTTTTTTTAATGATGTAATTACCCTGGGATGGAAGACTTGCTTGAAGTAATTATGAATATCATAGTAAGATTTGTTCATAGAGTAGAAGCCCTCCCCTGGATGAGTATATGGGAGGGGGTGCTGGCGAGGTTCTGCAAAGGGGATTTCAGAATAGCCAGATAGAACAGTGTTTGTGTATCTCCCTTTTCTCCCCTTGGGCTGGTGTCTGAGGTGTGATCTATAACAAATTTATTTTTCTTATCATATTATTCACAACATTTACATACTTCCTCCCCTCTCTAAATGATAAATTATTTCATCAGCAAAATTGCAGTAATATGTCTTATATTTTAGCCAAAGTCTTTATACAGTTAGTTTAATTAAACAGCCAATTCAGAGTCAACCAGTCAGCTCAAAATAAAAAACTGTCACATGGCTGTTTATGTGCCTCATTTTATTTATTTATTTTTTATGTGCCTCATTTTAAATCTTTAGTTTTAAAACAAATAATACCAGTAAAGGAAAGCAAAGGGAATTATATTTCAGTAGTACCTGAAATAATTATGATATTTCTGATTTGTCTGTTCTCTAGACACAGATAATTGCATTGCCATACAGGACTTTTAGAAATGTTCATTTGAAGAAAAAAAGAATGTTCATTCTAATGTATGTTAAATTTTTAACATATACACAAGTAGAGAGAATAGTGTAATGAGCCCCTTAAACCCATCTCCAGATTCAAAACCTATGAACATTTTTGCTACATCTATCCCTTTTCTTTCTTATAATTTTTATGGAATATTTTATTTTATTTTATTTTAGACTGGGGGGGAGGGGCAGAGGGATAGCAGAGGGGGAGAGAGAATCCTAAGCAGGCTCCACGCCTAGCACAGAGCCAGACATGGGGGCTTGATCTCACACGTGAGATCATGATCTGAGCCGAAGTCAAGAGTTGGATGCTTAACCCACTGAGCCCCCCAGGCTCCCCTGGAATATTTTAAATCAAATCCCAGATACATCAATTTGAAGGGTAACTTCAATACTTCAGTATGTTCCTCTAGCAGATAAGGTTTTAAAAACAATCCATAACATCATCATCACATGTACTAAAATTAACAATGACTCCTTCATATTTAGTACTCAATCCATATTCAAATATCTTTTAAATTATAAATAAAAATGTCTTTTTATTTTAATTATTTGCTTGAATTAGTTTTCAAAAAATGTCAACACATTGCATTTGGTTTACATATCTTTTAACCTTCTTTTAATTGGTAACAATTCCCCTCCACCCTTTTCTTTCCCCTGTAATTTATTTGTTGAGGAATCTGGATCATTTGTCGTATGGAATTTTTTATATTCTGGATTTGCTTTATTTTTTTCATATCCTTGCCCAATTTTCTCTTGAGTTGTTGATGTTTCTCAGTTTTTTTAGAAGCTCCTTATTTGTTAGGGATCTGTGATATATGTTGCAAATATTTATGTCCAGTTTGTCATTTACCTTTTTACTTTCTTTATATTTCATGCTTTTATGAAAATGTTTAATATATTTCCATTTTTTTCCACTCTCATTTCTGTGCTTCCCAGTTTATGTGCTTACATTTCTTTCTCTTAGTGTTTGTACCTTTAAATAGTGTATATACCTCTATTATTTTTCAGATACGAATGATCTATTTTGACTCTCAGCCATGAAAGATGAGGAACTCAACATATGCACTAATTCTATTTCCCTATCAACTTTGTAAGTTGTGTCATTTCTATGTTGTTTGTGTTTGTAACATTTACATATTTTTCTGTGATCATCATCCCCACTTGTTGTAATCCTAATATATCTAATAAATGAAATAACTATTATCTTGTTCAATTTTCACAACCTCATTTGGTTAGCCAAGGTCTTTTTTTCCCTTTTTTAGTTGTTTCTTTAAAAAAAGAACCTCCTGGAACATTGTACTCTGAGTTTTTGAAGGTGAGCAGTTTCATTATGGGTAGAGTTGGTGGAACACTCTTTTCTTTCATTGCTCTACTAACTTTTAGCATTGACTGTTATTTTGTAGAA